TCAATACAATTCACAACGCAAATAAACGAGTACAACATGCTCATTCTGGCAGGATAATTGCATCCACGCCTCGAATCTGTGGAGTATTTGTAAACATATCGAATTAAAATTAAAGTTTCCAATTGATACATTAATTTGCCTTCACACAGATATGAATGAAAAAAAATTCAATTTCACACATTTCAATTAAAGTTTGAAGAGTTGCACACCCACCACGCCGGCGAGCAATATATACCCAGTACCCAGTACTCAACACTCAACACCCATCACACATCACCCAACACCCATCATCCACCACTGCCAACAACTTGATGAACCACTTAACGAACGCATTTATATGTTAAAAATGAATTTGTTTAAGTATCCTTACCGCAACCGCCTCGATAAATCCATTTTGATCTGCTTTACTTTTTAAAGTTATTTGTGTATTTGTACAATTGGTACAACACGCTTTATCCTTTCTCGTCCTTGTGATGTTAAATAAAAAAATTGTTGTGGAACACACATAAAAGTAGAAATGTTTAAATGCAGTAGTTTCGTTGCTTATCAAAGGAATACTGTTAACCTTAAAATCGGTAAATTAATTATTTTTCCGTATTTGCTGAATATTTTGCAATTTAACAAATAACATTGCAATGCAGTTCTTTTTTTAATTTTTTGTTTGGTTTTTATTTTATTTAAATTTTTTATTTACCGACAACGCATTTATTTCACTTTATTTCATTCAATAATATATTAACTAAGCTCAAAACAATCTCATTTGAAAGCACAAAGGATCAATTTCATTAGCACACAAAGTTCCTTAGAACAGGACTTTTACGTTCGCACATACAAATACACACCCGCTGGGATAGAGTGCCAGCAAGCAACTGACCGTTAGTGAATTGAAGCTCGATAAATGTACTGCACCGATCGCTGGATCGCTCGATCGCTTGATCGTTTGAACGCTTTCTTCGGCTGCCGATGCTACAGTGGCAAAGAGGCACACAATAGCAATACTCGAATAGCACGATACGAAATACCGACTACCCCTGCGCCTAAATGTGCACTTCCGTTTCTTATGGCTGCGCAGCAGAGATCCACGAGCCAAAAATCACGATCTTGCCGCCTTACAGTTAAGTAATCGTCTATTTAGAAACGAACGGATATTGTGCTTATCACGAACAACACTGGAACGTTTAGCTTCAAAGTTGACGTACACGTTATTTCACTATATTGATTACAATAACAAATGAACATGTATTATATATATATGTATATATATATTTTTGTATTTATTTTTACATGTATTATGTCTGTTATCGTTTCTTTTCGTTTTTTATTTATCGGAATTGCTCCAATTTACAAATATTTTCAAAGTTGATTTTAATTTTATTTATAATTACATACAAATCAGAAATTTTAATTTTACTCTTTAAACTTCAAAATCCTTTTAGAGAAAAACTCATGCAATTCAAGAAGAAGCACAAGATCGATCTTCGTACTACTCCGTCAACGACTTCCTACCATTGCCGCGTTGTTTCAAACTAAACTTCAGCCTCGAGCAAGCACAGCACACAAGCGGCAAGAAAGATAAACGCTGCACATTTTTGTCTCTCGCAGCGTAGAGACGATGCGATCCGATGCGTCACGATCGCTGTGTGCCATTGATGTGATGTTGCGATTGCGATTGCGATATGCGAAGCTCCTTTTAATATTATATCTTTCACTGCAATTTGATATTATTTTGAAGAAGTGAAATTAGTACTTCATATTTATCAATTTAAATATTAATGGTTCGTTTAATTTTTTTTAATTTAAAATTTTTTAAATAATTACCTTATCTCCAACTCTGTTTATGACTCTCAGCTGATCTCATTCTAGAAGTATTTTTCTGCCTAAAAAGTATAATTTTTGCAAATAAAAATAATATCTTTTATTTAATATTTTTAGAATTGAAAGGAGCCTTAAAATTTTATTTTTAAAATGAAAAAAATTTATATTTTATCTTATAAAATATTTCTTTAACACAGAGGTTTCGAAAAGTAGTGAACTATAATAACAAAAATTCTTTTTTGTATTATTTTAATTAATATTCATATTAATTTTAATTTCTTTAACCAACAATTTTTCAAATAAACATCACTTATCTAACTATACTTCATGATATCGCTCTATAGGTATTTTAATGCCATTTTTATAATAATTTTTATAATGCTTTATTTTAATAATAAAAAAAAATTGTATTATAAATTCTCATCAATTCTAAATTGTCATTCTAAAATTTCTAAAGTCTAAAAACCTTTATTTTTACAATAAAAAATGTATAGTTTATCTAATGTAGTATTTCTATAACTGCAAAGAAACATCCTTTTTCGAGTTATAGAAGTATTTTATTGTCTATACTTCAGCAGCAATGTTTCCCATTCATTTATTTATATATATAGATATTCCAATACCAAACCCACAATCCTAAACTTCTCAGCTTCAAGTTTATTGTAAATGTTTTCAGTTGATTTAGGACAAGTATATTTGATGCTTTCTTCAGTAGTTAGTTAGTCGCGTTTCTAAATTCTATTTTACTTATACAATTCCAGCTCTGAAGACCGACCTAATCCAAACTGAACAAGAACCTAACCAGTCAGCTGGTTCAACGCAAGCGTAACCTACTCTGCACTATGGTAAATCGATGTTTACAAATCACTGCATACTAGGAAGACATGCTATGAGACTGGATCTACCGTGTAATAGCTTTTATCGTGGTTGTAGCTCCACAGATCAAACTGTTCTCCACCTTACATATCAGTGACATCTTTGGCTAGGAGACGATTTAAAGTTTTTGTGTCCCTTTTTCTTAGCAACCTTCTAAAGCTGTCATCATGCAATGTTAAAAACATGTCCAAATTTATAGACTTGTCAGGTTGATACATTCCTATTTTCACTTGAATGGGGGAGTTATGCCTTTCAGCATTGTTCCTATGTTAACTACTGTGGTTGTTCCGTAAATCCTTCTGGTCTGTGTATGAATAATGCTAATCCGTAGTATTACATTAAGCCATTATACAATTCCGTCATAGTATCACAATAGGCTACCATTTGTAATCAAGCGAGCTTTCGAAGTCGCAAGACTGCACTGGCTTGACTTTTGACAAGATTTTAAAAACACCAATTTTTTCACTAACACACAAATTTTTATTTGTAGAAGAAGTTCGAATATATTTGCTCGAATATTATTTGCTTAGGCTCTGGGCCCTGTTCTGCCCCTGTTAAATCCCGATATCTGAAAATCTACGCTACATACAATAACTTATAGTGTAGTGGAAAATATTGTTCAAAATATCTGTCTTTACTTAATTCTATTATTAAATGGGCGTACCCAGAGATGTGCCAATGAAGGAAATTATTTTTGGAAGATCTATTATTTAGGTTTTCGTTATGTTTTAGCTGAAAGTAATTTGTTCCTTTGTTTCACAGCAGCTTCTATTTATTTTCATCTTAACGAAAAGATAATGTCTTTAGAATAAAATATCCACATATCTTTTACAATAGATTTTTTTCGCTATTACTCTAATATTCTAAGAATTAGATCAATTAAAAATATTATATTTTATGTAAGTTTTTGTATGAATTAAAGAATCTAGTTTAAGAATAAATATAAGCAATTATTAGTGTTTCTATTTTGCTTAAGATGGAAAACTGCAATTATTGCTTTTAAGATGTTTACAAGTATTTTTAAGATCCTATTTCCAAAACCTATGCCCCTTCCTGTTTAATAAAATTGTATATGTTTGCTTTATAATTATTTTTACATATAAAACATTAATCTACATCCTCTGGTGCATAATCAGATTATCAAATCCCCTGCACAGTTTTTGCAGCACCAGCATGCATCTCGTATTTCAGGGAATCCCTTAATGACTTAGTCCCTTAGTGTTTATGTTACTCAAATTAAGTGAAACATGTGTCGGCAATATTTTGTCGCACTTGTATTTTGGAATGGTTCAGTTCTCTTGTGCAGTTCAGCACAACACAACCCAAAAAAGAAAACATCCTTTGAATGGCATGTTTGAGTGCCGCACTATGGCATGTTCATCACTCCCGTCTCGAACTCTGTATTTAATAGTTGAAATTATAAATATTTTTAGCGTTAATTACTGAGGCGGCTTGTTTTCCCTTAAAACTCACAGTTTTCATTAATGAAACATGGCACATGTGTGCGCACTCAAGACAACAGCGGCACGTAGTAACAGAACATGGGAACCACTCCAATCCGATCCTCGTTTAACGATCAGCCTGACTTTGATGTTTGACTTTTATTGCGTTACTTAAATTCTTTCGGTTTTATTCCTTTTAAAGGAATATAATGTCAATTACTTCAACGCAGAAATGAATTAGTTGGGGTGCCCTACACTTCATATAAAATTAATCGAAAACAGTCACAATGGGGATTTCAAAGAAAAATTTAATTGCATTTTTTGCATTAAGACACAAAGTAGCATCTCTAAGTAAGCACTTTATTTTAATTATGGAAGAATTTTCCTTTGACAAAGTCAAAGAACTATTGCATATTCAATATCTCCTAAACTATAATTCTATAGAATAATATTTACCAATCTTTTTTACTAGAATCTACTTCAGAGAATATATAGATTTTAGTACAAAGTTTTTCTTCTTTCTCAATAGTAAGAAATTTGATAGAATTAACTATTACGTGTTGGTCTTTGGGAAAGCATTTTGGACTGCAGGAAACTTGTAGTTTTTGTGCTTACTGAAGTACTAACGAGGCTCTGTGCCATTGTGGTTAATCTTTAATGGTGGCATATTCAAACAAGTAGATGGTGCACTAGTTGCTACAATGAAGAGGAATTTGGCAATCGCTTTCTCTCTACAACACTATAGACGAAT